GAGGCCTCCTCTCAGCCCACAGCGCGGCAGATCCGTGCCGGGAAACGTGTCCTCCCTTCTCCCAGCCCAAGCCACCTCCTCCCACCTGCATGGCTTTTGGCCAGAGTTTTTCTTTTGCTTCAACTGAGAGTAGAGCTGCTATTTCTCCCTGCAGGCACCCTTCACACACCAACGCAGCCACTCCCGCGGTCTCCCGCTCCACCCCGCCCCTCATTTCCACCGACCCTCTTGCTTCCTCAGGTGTCCGGGCTTCCCGCCTATGCCACCCCCTAGCAGAGAGGCACCCAGGGGTACCCTAACCATTGCAGAAGAGAAGGGCGACCGCCTCCCAATCCTGGACGCCTGCACTTCCATTAGCCCCAGAGTAGTCGGCCTTCCTGCTGTGGCAGCACTGTCCTGATTTTAGCACAGACGTTTCTACTCTCCCGGAAGTCTCTGGAAAACTGGGAGGGTTGGCCCCGTAACCCTGGGAGTCCAACAGGAAGAGCCAGGAGGATAATGCTGCAGGAGATGCTGACCCATCCCATGGGTGAGGGTTCCCTACCCTCCCGTGGTGGGTGGAGGGTGACTCCTGTCGTCCTCCTGTGGCCGGAGGGCTGTCCATCATCTGTCACTGATTCCTGTCCACTTCTGCGCTGTTCCCGAGGGCTGAGCACAAAACCTTCTTAGAAAACCAGAGTTCTGGGTGCTCAGATGGAAAGTGTCCGAGAATACTGCCGCATCTCCGACCACCACAGCCTCTTTATCCCTCCCCACCACAGCCTCTTTATCCCTCCCCACCACCACAGTCCCCGCATCCCTCCCCACCACAGTCCCCGCATCCCTCCCCACCACAGTCCCCGCATCCCTCCCCACCACAGTCCCGGCATCCCTCCCCGCCACAGTCCCCGCATTTCTCCCCACCACAGTCCCTGCCTGCCTCCCTGCCCACCACTGTCTCTGCATCTCTGCCTACCACAGCTGCATCTTTCATCAGAAGAGTGTTGGAGAGATCTGGGTTGAGGGAAATGGAAGGTGCTACCTGCTTGTTTTCAGTTAACGAAATAACCTTTCACTTGTGTTTGCTCTCACCATACCTCTATTCTCTTTTTTGAGTCTCCCCGTCAGTCCTTAAACGTTTTCTACCTCTGTGGTCTCTATTCCCTCAATGTAGTCTTCCTTCTTAAACCCTTTAGTTAAGCTTTCACTCGGACATTCTAAGAAATTTTGTCTCAAAGAGCACTGAGAGCAGTAGTGATGAAACACACAGGTCACTTTTCAGTCCTCAAATTCTTCACTCTGCAGGGTTTTTTTTTTTTTCTTTAAATACACTGTACTAATATTTTGGGACCTATCCTCTGGCCGCTTCTGAAGTGTTTCTTTTCCAACTTGAATCTGTCCTTCTGCTTTGTAAACATGAGCCCAACTTCCCAGCGGTTCCATCTGCATCTCTGAGTTTAATTACAACCTCTCCATGCGAGACTGTCCCTGCATCTCTTGCTAAGCCCCTCTTTATGACTCAGTAGCGGTAACTTCCATCCCATCTCCACCACCACCACAATCATCCTAGTCACAAAGCTGTCACTGTGCACCTAATGCTGTGTGAGGCATGAACTTTGTCTTTGATCTTCGCATGAATCATTTGCAAATCTAAAATCCTTATGTATTGATTAGGAGACAGACATCTAGAGGTTAACTTGAAAAGTGACTTTCGATTCTTGACATGAATCTAAAGTCATGTCAAGAATCTCCAAGAATTTTCAGTTACACAAGACATCAATCTCTTCACATTCCAGGTACTTCAAATGACATCCGTTTTCTTCCCTCTTAGACCAGTTTCTGTAACTGTTCTTCCGTGTAGAAATAAATTAGTAAATAAAAAGTAAGTTTTCAGTTTGATTTCCGTATTTCTGTCCCGATGTAAAATTTGGCATCATCTTGATTCCCTTTCTGCTTGTTCCTTACTGATATTTTCCAAAATGTCTCCCTAAATCATTTTCTCTTTACATGTATCCCAGAAAGGTATGAACTTTTGGATCAGATGACATGGCTATGAGATTGGCTGCTCAACTTATTGGCATATGAACTTGAAGAAGCTGTGTTTTTCCTCCAAGTTTCAGTTTTCTCATCTGTCACTTAGGGAGGACTATGACAACCTCAGGGCCCCTGGGTCTGTAGGGAGGATTAATGAAACCGAACAGGTGAAATGGCGAGGGTCAGCCCCACATGCTGGACGCCCGTGGTCCTGGCTTCCTTCCCTGCTCTGTGACGTCGGGCAGGGCTGCCGCCAGGAGGAGAGTGCACCTGCCCTGTGCTCTGCTCTTCTCCCTGCTGTAAACTTGCTCCCCGTCCCTCTACGGCCCACAGACATCTGTGTCTTTGCATTGTCGCCAGCATTCCGGTCCTGCAGTCACCCTCCCCAGTTCCCTACTGAGGGCTGGTGCCCCTACCTATCCTCACTGCTCTCTACCTTGGTGCCTTTCTGCCTCGCCACCCAGGCTCATGCTGTTTGTCCCCGAATTGCCTTCCTTCCCCTGCCTACCTGGTCAGATCTGAATCACCTTCCTGGTTGAGTCCCAGCCCTTCACTAAGAGCCTGAAGTCCAGGAGGCTGGAGCTGAAGGGGCTCCTGTGTGCTCCCTCCTGTGAACTGGACTCTCCCTGTGGCATTTCTTCACGGATTCATCACACACAGGCTCTCTGTGTATCACATGTTGCTTGTATTGTCATGTATTTAGGCCTCAACTTTCCAACTATACGAATTCCTGAAAGGTGGGAAGTAAATGGCACACTTTTAACTATTTCTGTACCTTGTGTGCTGTACACAGTAATTATCTGAACAAATGATTTGTATCTGAAAAATAATGTATAACAGGTGTTCTCCTGGCTATTTGGGAGAGTAATTTTCAGGCCAGCTACTTTATGGGGTAGAATAACACAGAGTGTCTCCCCAGGCCCGAATGTATTAGTATATGCAGTGAGCATTGAAGGATACACCATTTGACGTCTTTGTAAACTCCAAAATTCAAGGTGTCAGCACAGCTTGTACTTCCTCCTATAAAATGTGCTTTTGTCCCTACTAGAGAATTTGCTGACATAATTTGTTAAGTAGTCTTTCTTTTACTTTATTGTTGAGAAAAAGATATAGATCCAAACCACATAACACAGATCCAAGCACTGCTGGGCTCGGTGGTCTATGTTTTTGCAATGTGTGAGCCTGTGGCTGCCTGCCCGCCGTCACTGTTGTAGATTTCTTCTTCCTGTCCCTCCACTCCCAGCACCTGTGCTCACTCTAGGCTTTCCTGGGGAGGGTTTTTAAAAAACAAACAAACAAGGCTTTTATTTTAATTTGTTTTGTTTTTTTTAAAAACATGTTCATTACTTCAGAAGTTTTGTGCACACAATGAGAGTAGAAAGCTGTCCCGCTTATTCATTGTTGCTTAGCCACCACCTTGAATCATGGTGGCTTTAACAGTGATTTATTTACAATGTCTCGTGGCTCTGAAGGTCAACTGGTCTCGGCTGAGGGCTTCTCAGTTGGGGCCCCCACTGTAGGTACCATCAGAGAATGGATGGGAGCCATGTCATCCGAAGGCTCGATTGGGCTGGGGGGGCTCCCCCATGTGGCTGGCACATGGGACACTGCTGTTGCCTGGTATCTCAGCAAGAATTCCCAACCAGTTCACCACACTGACTTCCTCAAAGTCTGTACAGAGTGTTACTTTAGGGGTTAACAAAGCATTTACTGTCTTTTCAACTTTGCTTTTAATTTCAAAAGATGACTGACACCCAGATGACCAATGTCCACAACGTGGTGTGCCATGGCCTCCAGTGTGTGTGCTGTGGCCTCCAGTGTGTGCAGGGCCTGTTTGTGAATTAAAGGCAATCACAAGGAGAAACGGTCATGGTGACCCATTCTGAATCGTACACAGCGTCCTCTGTAGGGTTGTAGCCAGAGGCAGATGATTTTCCTAGAAATGCCTCAATGTGAGTTTGAAAGCAACTCCTTATGACTATTATCTGAATTTATCAAACTGTCCCTGGCTTTTGTTCGGAATGAACTTTTGACGTTACTGTGGAATTTTCTGCCTGGAAAATTATTGTTATGAAACATGTGACTGTAAACCACATTTCTTGCCTTTCATGTGCCTCACAGTGTCTATGCAAATGAACGGTGTGATTTTAAACTTGAGGAAGGTTCAATAAGAGTGAGATCTAAGAGGATCTTTAATATGGGGGCATTTTTAGAGAGAGAAAAACCAAATGGGTCTCAGTTTTTTCAGGGTGACATGTAATTTGGATTTGACTTGGAACTACAGAAGGAATATGGGGTAAAAGACATGAGAAGCATTGCAGAGGTCAGTGCCATGTGGTGCATCCGCCTCAGCTCTCAAAGAAAAGGCAACCGGTCCAGGCTGGGAGCCAGTCAGCAGCAGGGTCCCAGTCTCCATCCACTGCCATCCCTTCTGGGGCAGGGAGGGAGTCACAGGGAGGAGGCCGCTCTTGGAGACCTCCAGATCCCTGCCTCTGTGCAGTCTAACTGAAGGGGCCCCCACAGTGGCAGTGAATCTCTTTGCTCTGCAAGGAAAGGGGTGTCATTGGGCCTCCTAGGTCCCTCACCCTCTGCGTGGCCACACAACGCGGTTTTGTTCAACACGTTACATTTCTGGTTACTTAATGTTCATTTTTGGTCCCCTGTAAAGTCCAATCTGTTTTTCGTTTTCTTTCTTTTCTTTCCAGGCAGGCATTGCCAGGGCTAATCATCTATAAAAGGGCTTACTTTCTTACCTTCACACTAAGCAAGACCATCCAAGGGCAGTGTTAGAGGGCACCTGAGAACGCAGGAGGGGTGTTCCCCGGCAGCCTGTTTCTTTCTCCTATGGGCAGCCCTTCTACAGGAAGCAGAAGCCTCAGGGGAGATGCTGGAAGTGAGGAGAAGGGGATGGAGCTGCGGTAGCAGGGGAGGGGTTGGAAGATCAGAGGGGAGGGTCTTGCTTTGTTCTCCATCCAATAATAAACAGGTTTCAGGTTGGGGTGAACTACTGGGGAGCAGTGCCCCGGGGCTCCTCTCAGATGGAAGAGGGAAAGGTCACCCAGGGTGAAGGAAGTTGTGAGCTCTGTTAGAGGAAAACAGCCAGGACTTAGTCAGGAGAGGCTTTGTTTGGAAGGATTGTTGTAAGGCAGGGGAAGGGATGATGGAAGCAAGAGGATCCCATGACTGTACGTCTGCAAGCGCTTCAAATAGAAAAGGCCCTTCTTTTATCCAGTAAGGAGAAGCCACTGGGGCCAGCAGGGTCTTTGGAGGAGACCCTGTACAAGCCCAGGAAAATGGCCAGTGGGGATGAGCAGAACACAGGTCCTGCTGTGTCCAGCTGGCTCCCCAGAGAGATGACAAGAGGTACACTCCAGCTTCTCAGGCTCGCTCAGGCTTGGGGACGTGGAGCTCAGGGCTCTGCAGGAAGGAGAGACCCGGATAAGGTGTGGTCAAGACAGAGCAGATCTGGGCAGCAGTCAGTGGGGCCTTGTGGGCAGCCTGGGGTGGGGAGGCACAGTGCACTGGAAGGTGGAGAAAGTGTGAGTCCATCAGCCTGGCTGCGAATTGATCATGAACCTCTAGTCTGTAAAACTTTTGTTATTTCCTGAGATGTGGTTCACAACAACCCAGGTGTGAACAACCTTATGATTCTAGGGTTCTTTTCTATTGTTTTAATCACTTGCATCTAAAAATAAATTTCTGAGTGACTTGTCGTCAGCTGTTTTTCTTGATATGTCTAATGACGGGGCAGCGACCCCCATTGTCACCCAGAGATTATGTCTCTGTGCCACATGAAGATTAGGTGCCCCGCTTTTGATTGAGGGGCTCATCTGTTGGTCTCAAAGTATCCGGTAATAATAGCTGATATGCATGGACAACCACCTCTCCTCCAGGCGCTGTTCCTGGGCTTCCGTGGATGGGCCTGGCTATTTCTCGGAACTTTCTGAGGTTAGAGCTGTCATGGTCTTTCTTCTAAAAGAGGAAACCGAGGCTTGCTGGGGCTCAGTGGCCCTTCTGTGGCTGCACAGCTTTCGGGGTGGAGCCAGGACTGACTGACTCCAAACAAAAGTGCTCCCGACCCAGCTCTTTAACTCACACGGCCTCTTCCAAACATTCCCGAATCTTCCCAGTCGGCTTGCAGACACTCCTTGCTCCCAGGAGGTAGTCGGGTAAAGGAGTATGAAAGTTTGGTTACAAACTCATTGCTGCAAATTCAAAACCCACACAAAGGCTGTCTTCCTCTGGGGAGCTACAATGTCTCCCTCTTTCTCACCACTTTACCATTGGTTGGGCTTTGATTTCAGGGATCCTACGATTACTCAATACCCTACAGGATATACATGGTTAACCATTTGCATTTGGGCAAATAGGCGTTACTTTTCAATAGGAAGTGGCGATCCAGAACTTGCTTTTGGGCAATTCTAGTAGCTCACAGCTTTTTTCTTAATGACCGCTAGAAGCTGCATCTTGTTAACAGATGGTCATCACATTGGGGACCTGGAATCATCAGATTGTGAGGCTCGGAGTGAGGCTGAAGGGAGTGGATCAGAGTACTGCCTGAGGTGAGCATGCCAAGGCCCCTGAAACTTCTTTCAAAAATGTAACCTCTTTGATTGCCCTAGTCTGACAGGAATGGGACTGTTTTACCCATTAATCTTCCAGAATGCTGGCATATGGACTGTGTTTATGCTTAACGACGCAGACCTCCTTTCCTGAAAGCATTGACTTTAAGGTTTTAGGAAGCCCCCTTTTCCTCTAAGTGGATAGTAAGGGATTTCATACTCGCTCCCTGCACTGGAGCTTGGGTGACGGTCTGGGCACTTGCTCCTCACACAGGAGATATCCTCAGGGCATCCGTGTGGAGAGGAATGTGATTCTTTACTTAATCAAATGCACTAAAAGATTTTGGAAAACAAAAAATTAAGCTAAGAAATATTTTGGAGGCAGTAAGTCATTTATGCAATGAAGGCTGATGAGTAGGCATCCAAGGCAGCCTAAGATCGAGCAGGAAGGAGTTTGTGAGGGGGGTTAAGAGAAACTGACAAGGTGGAAATTTCAACAAGTCTCAGTTGCAAAGCTCTCATGAGGGCTGCCAATGCCACTGTGATTATGAAGCCAGTATCTTATGACCAGAAAATAACACACAGTGATATTAAAAGGAGCCAGGCTAGGTGCAGTGGCTCACACCTATAATCCCAGCACTTTGGGAGGCCGAGCTGGGTGGATCACCTGAGGTCAGGAGTTCGAGACCAGCCTGGCCAACATGGTGAAACCCCGTCTCTACTAAAAATACAAAAATTAGCCAGGCATTGTGGCATGTGCCTATAATCCCAGCTACTAGGGAGGCTGAGGCAGGAGAATCACTGGAACTTGGGAGGCGGAGGTTGCAGTGAGCCGAGATCACACCATTGCACTCCAGCTGGAGATCAGCTCCAAAGTCCACTTAGCAGCAAGACATAGATATTATAGAGATCAGCGTTACAAAGAAAAACAAAAATGCAAGGCCGTAACTAAAGCTATCCTTTAAATGGTTAAAGATGTAATTTCTGCAAATAAAACAGAAAACATAAAAGCAAAAATAAAAAAAGGAACTGAAAAAAAAAAAAAAAAAAAAACAACCCACAGAAGCTTAATAAACAAATCACCGGGGGAAAACAAAAAAAAAAAATCAAACCTCCTGGTCTCCTCCTTAGCCACCCTCATTCAAAAGCAGAAGGAAGTCAGTCTAGAGTTTCAGCTCCACTGATGCTTATCTAAAAAAGCATAAAATGTGGTGTGCCCGTGATTCAAATAAACTTAGAGAACATACATGTATTGAACACCTACCATTATAGTTTGTGAAACTCTGGTATCAATAAGATGTTTTAAAATAAACACATTATTTCAGATCTTGTGGGAATTCTGTGGCATTTCACTAAGACCTGCTGGTGGCAAAGTGAATTAGAATGGCGAGTAAGAGACAATAATGGAAGTCTCACCAGTACTCACAGTCCTAGATGAGCTACAGGCTCGCTATCTGTAAAATGGGTATGATGTCTACCTTAAAGGGTTTTGTGAGGTTAAAAGCGATAAGCAGCTGTAAACCAGTGATTTTAATGCCCAGCAGGTAACTAGAACTTAATTTACAGCATATGCACACACACACACAAACACACACATACACATATGTGTGCATATATACATGCATACACATCCATATGTACACACAGAGTTATACACATACTGCACACACATGCATGTATACACACATGTGTGTATACATGCAGGCACCAATATACACCCATGCACACACATGCCTACACACACATACACCTGTATACACACATGCACACACCTATATACACACATACCTATATGCATACATGATGTAAACACATGTATATATGCAGGCATATGCACACTGCACAAATGCACACATGCATATATACATACACACACACCCCCACATATGAACACATACACACATACTCTTATTTAGTTCTTGCTCCTTGTTTTGCAGGGCCAGTACTCTTTATGAAAATAAGCACAAATTTAAAACTGCCTGACAACTTAATTTTAACGCATTGTTAAGCTAGTTATTAAATGTTTTTAAATTATAAGTTAACACAGTTTTTATTACCAGTAATATTTTGATAACTATTACTAATGTTTTCCCTATATTGAATTTTCTTGGGCAGAGTCTGTCGTTGGCCAAAGGGATGAACAATGGCAGTCGATCTGTTGCTTGGTTCCCCCAACCCCTGCTCCTCTTGAGGAGCGCCCCCCCGACAGCTCTCACTGGCCCTCTCTCTTTGCTACCACCACAGAGCCAGCCCCAGTACTGGTCTCCCTGAGAGTGTGTGCTGCGGCTACCCACCTCTTCTGGGGCCATTTGCCTGTGATTAGAGTTCTCCCAATGCCCTCAAAGTCCAAAAACATAAAAGGTAGAGGCACGGTGGAAGGCCGGAGGGAGATGAGTGTGGTTGTGTTTGGAGAACTGAACACAGCCTTAAATCCTATAGTGGGGGCAGCCCCTCCCTCTTTCCACTGGTTCTGCTTTTTAGCAGAATATATAATTAGGTATTCTTTTCATTTCTAAATGAATTAATAAATTAACGATTACTTTCTGAGATACGCTCTTGCATATTATACATAATAAAAATTGTACTAGGAAGCCACATTACTTTATTGCAATAAAAATTGAAGTAACCTTTTTAAATGCTATGTTAGAAATATTATTCTGGAATTAAGTTTTTCTTAAAGTAACACTTATAAAAATGTGTGATAACAGGATCTTTGAAGTGTTAAAATTGAAATTCAGAGGCTAAGTTATTACTTACCATGTGCATATATTTAATCTTCATGAGATGTTAGTACATCTGCATTTCATTTAAATGAGCAGTGTGGTGGCTTGTTGTCCCAGCTACTCTAGAGGCTGAGGTGGTAGGATAGCTAGAGACCAGGAGTTTGAGGCTGCAGTGTGCTATTATCGTGCCTGTGAATGGTCACTGCACTATAGCCTGGGCAACATAGCAAGACCCCATCTCTAAAAAATGGTAATTTATTTATATGATTTCAAGCCTAAAATACAAAATACATATTGAAGTATAGCTTATCATTATTTGCCTCTAAGTAAGGCGAGAAAAAGCCGTTAAAATATCTTTTAATACAAGTTTGTTTCTAAGTCTAACATATGTCCACAATGAGAAGAGAATCAATCAGATATGAGGCCTGTACGATTTTGTTTCATGCAATTGCTAGGGGAATGGAGGCACTTCAACTCAGAGGCTGGTGCGGGGACCAGCACACTGTCTAACGATTCCTCCTGTGTTTGCCTTGGTGGCACCCTTTGCCACATTCCCTGGGTCAGGTGATGCCAGCCCTGGGGGCCTGTGAGCTGCTGCAGTCAGGTGGTGGGTACATGTAGCCATCTTCTCGTCTTCCCTCTGCTGTTGCCCCGAACAGGGATTGGCCCCTAGGAGCTGCTCAGACCTGTCTTTGGATGAATGAATGAAGAGTCCTCTAGGTCGGTGTTATGCTTTGGCTGTGTCCCCATCCAAATCTCATCTTGAATTGCAGTTCCCATAATCCCCACGTGTCATGGGAGGGACCAGGTGGAGATAATTGAATCACGGGGTGGTATCCTGTTCTCGTGATAGTGAGTGAGTTCTCATGAGATCTGATGGTTTCACAGGGGGCTTCCCCCTTTGCTATTCTCATTCTTCTCCTTCCTGCCATCATGTGAAGAAGGATGTGTTTGCTTCCCCTTCTGACGTGACTGTCAGTTTCCTGAGGCCTCCTCAGCCATGCTGAACTGTGAGTCAATTAAACCTCTTTCCTTTATAAATTACTCAGTCTCAAGTATGTCTTTATTAGCAGCGTCAGAACAGACTAATACAGTCGACTTATTGATTATATGGTTTATATAATCATATATATGTGATTATATAGATTATATAGTCAGATTATATGATTTATATCATCATATAATAAACTACCTTTTTTTTAAAGAGATGAGGTCTTGCTGTGTTGCCCAGGCTGGAGTACCCTGGGCATTCACAGACATGATAATTGCACACTGCAGCTTGGAACTCCTGGCCTCAAAAATTTCCCAAAGTGTTTCCAAAGAACAGGAACTGAAAAGGTTCTGTGAGTGAGAAGGTTTGGGAAATACTGAGTTATTCCAGCAGGGCTCTGAAGGACCATTGATAAACAAGCTCTAATAGGAATAAACCAGGGAAGGATGTAGTTAGCATCTTATTTATGTCTTAATATACCAGCCACAGAGAAATCATTTCCCACCCCTGTCTGTCTCCCTCCCTTCTTTCTATCCAGAGCATCTCTTGGAGCTCACTTTTAGATGCTGGATGCTTGAATTCCCCAAGAAGCAACAGTTCCTAAATTGAAGTATGCATTAGAATAATACAGAGATTGTGTTAATGCAAGGATTTGAATCTTTGAAGCAAACATCCATAGGATCTATAGATCTTACCTAATGTCAAACTTTACTAATGATTCAATAACAAAAACACTAGGCAGAGAGATGCATCCCATGTTGGCTGAGCTGTTCTCGAACTCCTGGCCTCAAGTGATCCACCACCTCAGCCTCCCAAGGTTCTGGGATTACAGGTGTGAGCCACTGCGCCCAGCTATTCTGTGCTTTTATATAGGGGCTCCCAGGCTTCTTTCCCCTAGTAAGTACTATTTGAATGTTTACAAGGAGATCTGGTCCTCACCCAATCCAATCACGGGCAGAGTTCAGTGCTTTGTGACTGTAGGACTGAGATCCTCATATTCACTCTTGGCTGTCAGCAGAGGGCCTTTTTAGCTTCTCGGGGCAACCACATGGCTCAGCTTGTGGTCCCCTCTTCTGTCTACAACTCCAGCAACAACACATTGAATCTCTCACCTTCGAATCTTTTCTTCTCCCATCTCCAGGGAGAAGGACTCTTCACCTCTAGGGACTTGTGATTGCAGTGGGTCCAACTAGATAACCCAGCATAATCTCTGCCTACCTCCAGGCCCTTAAATCTTTAACTTCATTGCATATGCAGTCCCTTTTGCTGTGTAAGGCAACACATGT